TTAACACCCCCTGTCGCCAACCTCTCACTGGGCGTCCCCTACGTCTCCTCCCAGGAGGAACCCAATCAAGCATCTTTTTTGGCAGCCTCTCTTCCGTCATCCTATTGACATGACCATACCAAACAAGTTGTTTGGTCATGACGTCGAACACGATGTCATTTTCGACTTCCATTATCTGACGCACTCTATCATTACGGACCCGATCTCTCCTAGAAATTCCTGCTGACCTTCTCCAGAAATCCATCTCCGTTGCTCTTAGCATATCCTGTGTCCGTTTCTTCAGCTGCCAAACTTCACATCCGTATGTTAATATACTTTTGACTACAGCGTTGTATATCCTCCTCTTGTTATCTTTGGAAATCCGCTGATCCCAGAGGATTCCATTTAACATCGCTATAGCCTTCCTTGCTAAGGTGTTCCTTTCCCTGATAGCTTGATCCGTCCTTCCATCCTGGGTCAACCGCACTCCCAAGTACTTAAAGTGCTCGCAGCCTTTGATCTGCTGCCCATCCTCCAACTCAATGCTTTGCTGATCACCGCCAAAAGTCATCTTCTCAGATTTGGATATGCTGACTTCCAGACCCCACTTCCGATACTCTTCTACTAGCTTGCGCATCATGTATTCCGCGTCATCTTGATCTTGAGCAACCACCACCTGGTCATCAGCAAAGCACAGAGTAAACAGAGTTTCGAGATCACCCAAGGGGACACCCATACCAGAGCATTTCTTTTTCCATTCTTTTAGCACGCACGGTGTTCTGTCGGTGTTCTTCAATGTGTAAATTCAAACTTTCTGCTCACACAAAACCATAATCTACTTGAGTTAAATTGCATACTTACTAAATGTTGCCATAACAATCTCTGCGGTATAAAATTGTGGCATCTTAAATCTTGGGGCTGCGGTTCAGCTGTTATATGTTGTCATCACTTTGAAGAACATAGCTCGAGGCAGGATTAGAACTTTGCTGGGTACAGAGGCCTGCCTAAATCGTTGTAGTGCATGGTTTAATTCATGTACACCTTGGTTTTTCTTGTTGGTAGGAAATTCAAATAGAAACGGTGCTGAATAAAAACCTTGGTGTTTTGGTTAGGAGATAATTTTAGTAAAATTTCCTGGTCGCATCGAGTTCTATGTGACAGTTTAAAGTGGAAACTTGTATCAGAATTTCGCACCTTGTCCAGTGATCCATCAGCAAAGCAATGTTTCATTTCATGCAAACAAAATGTGTTAATGACTATCATGAATGATTGTATGTGAATGTGACATGTTAAATTCTATGCTGCATAGTTGAATTTTTTACCTTCTAGCGGGCTGATTATTGAAATTTTGTGTTTGTCAGGCAGACATAGATGACATAGGTTAAATGGCGGAGCGTGATTGGTCGGCCATGTCTTAGCATTGCCTTGTCGTGCCTTTGTCTGGTGGAATGACTGACATACTGTCGGAAACTCAAGAGGTGCCTTTAGCTTATCACGAGTTCCTCCTGACAAGGGCATGACAAAACGGTCACCAAATACGCCAACCAATTACGCTCTGCCATTTAACCTACGTCATCTACGTCTGCCCAACAAACACAAAATTTAAATAATCGGCCTGCAGGAAGGACATCACATCATTATCTTACATATCTCGTTATTTTTAAATGTGTTCTTATTCAAATGTATCTGAGACAAATAAATGAGTTTTTGCTTAAAGATACTGATGCTGGTTTTAAGGTGATTGTGTCAAATTGACTTTAACACATCTACCTCAATCTAACTCTGAAACAATGATGAGCAAGCAATGACTATATTTTTTGAGTTCTTTCACTTGTGTCTTTTCTTTTTTATTTGTAAGCATTCAATTAGGTTTACCACACTTTCCCTTATCTTTTCAGCTGGTCTTGGCGAGTTCAGAATCAGAGATTTGAATGATGAAATCAACAAACTAATCAGAGAGAAAAGCCATTGGGAAGCACAAATTAAAGAATTAGGTGGGCCAGATTATGCCAGAGTTGGTCCTCGGATGTTGGACCATGAAGGAAAGGAGGTACCAGGAAATCGCGGTTACAAGTATTTCGGAGCTGCAAAAGATTTACCAGGTTAGCTTTGTAACTTTATGTCTGTCTATTAACCATCTAGTGAGACTGATAAATGAGGCATCATTAAAGCTCTTCTAATTTTTTTTCCTCTCTTAAAGGAAAAATTAAATTAATTGATACTCGTAATAACAAACATTGTATTTGCAATGGAGATTACTCTCTATGTACCTTAAAGTTATTCATCGTTAGATTTATTTGATTCCAATGAGAAAATTTCTTGTAGACAGCAAGGGAAAAAAATCATATTTGAGCTGAAAATTGAGAATGGAAGGTGGATTTTCTCATGGATTCAATGTTATTTCCATTTCATTTCAATGCTTGAGAAAAAGTCTAGAGAATATTCAATGAGGTATGTAAAACTGGGATGTTAAATATAACATTGATGTTTTGAGCAACTTTACATGAGACTGACCTCTTTGTGAGGTATAATTTCCTCAAAGTTTTACATTCACAATTGAGGGATTGATATGGAGGAACTTTGCAATGAAAGGGGAGCAATGCCTTGTAGTGAATGGCACAAAGTGCGGTTTTTCAGACTTCAAATTGTAAATAATCAATTCCCAATCATTCCCACTTTGCTTAAAATTTTATTAGTGATTGAGGAATGAGATTGTCCTTTAATACCCAATCATATTTTTTGTGTTTCAGGAGTAAGAGAGTTATTTGAGCAAGAGCCACCCCCTCCGCCACGGAAAACTCGTGGAGAGCTAATGAAAGATATTGATGCTGATTATTATGGATATAGAGATGATGATGATGGCCTCCTCCTGCCAGCTGAGATGACTGAAGAAAAAAAAGGTTTGGAATTTGTTTTTCTTTGCCAACATTCCATGCTCATGCATGTTCTAGAACATAAGGTTGATATTAGTAGATTGAAAACCAGTAAGTTAAACACATTTTGTACAAAAAAAACGTTCCATTCGATCAAAGAAAATGTGTGAAAATCATTCATTCCATAAAATATAATTTGAGATGTTCTACCAAATAAGGCTGGTAGCCAACAGAAACAGAAACTTTTATTTATAGTATGGTAAAATGCAACATTTTATATGTATGAAAGGTATATCACATGCATCTTTTCATGAGACTTTTCTAATTTAAAACTAGTGTCCTTATTAGGGCTTTTTTTTTATCGCGGATCAGGGTGGATCGCAGTGGACTGCACTGAATCGGAATCCTGAGCGATCCGGACCGATCCAAGTGTTCCAAGTGATAAAAAAATCCAAACTTGGAATTTGGTTCGATTTGTTATTGTTTTGATTTTTTGGGGACGGCAACTTCCTCGCATTAGGTTAGGATCACAGTGGATCGCGAGCTCGCCCCACCTCGGAAGAGCGATCCAGCGTTCCACCCTGATCCACCTGGAACGCTTGGATCATGCTGAGGAACGGAATAAAAAAATACCGATGTTCATCGCGTTCCACTGCGATCCGCATAAAAAAAAGCCCTATTGATGACAATTTGATTTTTTTTTGCAGCCATTGCCAAAGCTGTAGCTGATTGGAAAAATCGAGTAGAATCAATGGAAGTCGGCGAGGAAAGTGATACAGAAGAGGTTGAGAAAAGCCGTTTGCAAGCAGAAAGCGGTGATGTAAGTATATTTTTCAAAAAGAAAAAACTTTGACTTGTCTTAAAACTTCAAGTCGAGCAGAAAGGTCTGACCAATTCTAAAAGCCTGTAGTGCTAGCACACTGAATGAACTTGCCCAGAAGCTTTTTCAAATTCTGTTGTTGTAAAGAAGTTTTGTTTCCTATTCTAAACCCAATTTTGATGATCAATCCTCTCAACTGAAGATGTACATTGTTCTTTTGTGCGGTTTCAGTTTTATTTGTAACATATCCTATTTTCACTCATTTGCAAATATTCATAAAGTTGGTTACATTATCTCTCTTTTTTTTTTTTACTTTTCTCTCGAGAAAAATGTTAAAGGGAGACTTTTGACCAACCTTCTTTGATTAAAGAACAAAGGATGCCTCAGACTTTGACTTGGCTTTGCCACCTCAGCAATTTTTAATAGCAGCTACACTCGAAGGGGAATATTCAAGGAGGAAGGGAGGGACAAGAGGCATTTCCTTTCCAAATTATGAAGGTGAAGTTGATGTTGATGCGGCATAGAAACATTAAAATTCAGGCAATAAAAATGGCAAATCTGGGGAAACAGAAGGAGGGGAAATGTGCGAAGCACAGAAATCAACTTAAGTATGCGCAAACTTCCCTACAATTCAGTTCTTATGTTCTTTCTATCTTTTTTTTTACAGTCTAGTGAGAATGAAGGTGAAGAGGATGCAGGGCTTCAAAACGAGCTCAGTGGATCTAAATTTATTGCTCATGTCCCGGTTCCATCTCAAAAACAAATAGAACAAGCACTCATCGAAAGGAAAAAGCAGGAGCTTCTGAACAGGTATGCCAGTGAAGCTCTCGTGAAAGAAGAAGAAAGTGCAAAAGAACTACTTGGTATCAATGAAACTAAAAACAGTTGATCTGTTATTCCTCTCATTCACTAAAGCATAGTTTTCACTTTGTAAGCAACTTTGAAAATTGGTTATAGTACATTTTGAGACTAAAGCGGATATCAGAGCAAACCGATTAATTGTTCCCTTTTCCAGGTACCATTGAGAAATATTTAAAACATTACTATGTATAATACAGAAAGAGAATAATTGACTTTCTTTCAAATAATAAAAATATTTATTAGTAATGCAAATATTTGAGGCTTTTTGAAGCAAAGTCCATTTTACTGATGAGCGGGCATCCCATACGAATACTAGCGTCAAGGGACTCGTCAAGAAACTGGACTGTGCTCCTTTTGCCTCAAAATGCCTCATTGATGAATCATGTGAATAGCACAGGTAATTTAAAACTAAGTGCTAACTGTTTTAGCCCATGAATCGAGCTCTGCTGCATGAATTTTGTGAAAGTTTAAAAGAATATGTCTCCACTAGTGTAATATATTAAGATACAGAGAAACTTTGCCATGGCAGGAAATTTTTTCACTACCAATATGCCTGCAATATTTTGGGATGTCAAGTGCCAATATTATGAAAAGTTAACATACTTTGGGTGAAGTAACGCACCCTCACAACCTCAAGCCTACCTATCCATCCATGCAAAATAAACTTCTCTTACTTTATTTTTGTATGTTAAATGCTGCTACTGTCTGTCAGTATTACAAAAAAATACGATAAACAGTTTAGTTTGCTGGCTATCACTAACCCATTGTACCAATTCAGTTTTAAATTTATTTCCAGAATCAAATTCAAAATGAGGATGATTACATGTAGAAAGTACTGCCACTAGGTTGAATCAAATTGTATGACAGGGCTTCTTTCCAAAAGAATTTGTTTTAGTAGTAGAATTGGCATCGTCAATTCTATCTGAACAAAATGGTCTAATATCATGCACTTATTAATTCCTTGTATGTTTTCATTTTGTATAGAATTTAGGCTTATTTGGACGTATTTCTGCCAAACGGAACTATGTGCATTAAGGCATGAGCCCTGAGACCCATAAGAATATATGCATAACAGAGCTCACGTCATAATGCACATAGTTCTGTTTGGCAGAAATACGCTCATTTAATCAACTGTGATGATGTAAAATGTTTTCATTTAATGAGGTTTTCATGTATGTAGTTATTTTGTACCTAATTACAAGATCTTTTTTTGTGTCAAAAACCCAACAGTTTTGTTTAATTGATTTGATAGTCCATGTAGCATCTGCGGGAATCAATCTTGCCACAAGAACTTATATTGGTTGACAGAACAACAAAGTATACAACTAAATCAATAATGAGATGCCAGAGGCCGCTACTGAAAAATTTTGAAAAGCCGAAACTTAATTCATTGAACAACTGAATTTTTGTAGGAGGCTGAGAAATGCATGAAAAAAGGAATGTTAACATGAAAGATGCGGTTCATGATTGCTCTTCAAATCATTCGCATTCAGAATCCAAATTACATCAGAAAGTTGAAAATTTGTCCTCTCCTAGGCTTGTTTGGTTTTTTCCTTATTGCTTTTGGCAGTTCTCAAGAAAAGAAATTGGTAAGTTGACCTACACAGAGCAGATAAATCACAGAAGTTTTTAAAAAACGACGTTGAGTATTTTCCATACAAAAAGTTAAGTATGATAGAATATATCTTCTAAAATTAAAAAAGAGCAGATGAACAAAAAATAATGTTCATTTTTTCAGTTTAATCAGAAGACAAAGTAAGGTAAATGAAAGTGAGTATATTTCTCGATTTAATTTCTTAAGTAGGAGTTAAACTTGCCATTGATATTCCATGCATCATTTTTTCTCAGTGATTTGGTGAACTCCTTAAACATGCATATATTCTTGAGTCATTTCACTCGTTTTGTAAGATTACTATATGAGCATCTCACTTCTTTTTTAATCTGCGTGGAGATGCAAAATTTTGCCGTCTCCCTGAAAGCCATCCATAAAATTCGTCATTTGATCTCTACCCTTGTTTTTAGAATAACTCAGGGCCGAAGTGCATTCTCCACGTTACTGTATTAACGTCACTTATTAATAAAAGGAAAAAGTTGAATAAGGTTTATTCCGTGCGCTATCAATCCAGTGTCTCCGCCTGCACCCCGGTCACGATCATTTTTATAAAGACCGCCATTGACATCTCAACGTTGTTAAACATCATTCATCGCCATCCATAAACATAAATGGCCGCCCATCTTTTTCCGGAGAAGAACGCCTCATCGCTCTGTCATTGTCGGCTTTTTGGATTTTAGGTTTCCAATAAAATTGTAAAATGAAGAGAAGTGTTTTGACCTGAAGAAGTGCAAATTTTTCTTCAACTACTTCCGTAAGTGTGATCATAATCTGGGAGACGCTTGAACTATCGAGGGAGTTGTGTTTTCTCTTACTTCATGAAGTGTAACTTGGTGCTGTTAATAAGTGTTAAAATTGCTAATATTATCAGTGGTGAGTTAAATAAACTTTGAAGCGTCATAATGAACTCTTTCTCATTATATGATCATTTATCGTTGTCTACTTGTTCGATGGAAGAACCACCCTATAAAATGAACTCTGCTTGTGATCTTAGCACCCTTGTAATCTGTTGATTGTAGCCGAGTTTAGTTCATGTGTTTCCTTCGTTTACTACCAAACTACTGGTGATGCACCAAAATCAGCCGTTCTCCCACCTCTTTACCCTCTGAGCTCAGATCATCTGAATGGCTACCAAATGCCAGTTTTTTCTGGCCAAATCCTGCTCAAGTGTTCACACCGATATGTGTGGAAAACGTTCTTAACTTGGTGACGAAGTCATCTCTGACGTTTGTTCAGAATGTATGAACTTGCCGAATCTTTAAAGACTATTTGCCTACTCACAAACGTCCCTTTTTTTGTTTGTTTATCGTTTTTATTGTTTCACCTTTTGATAATGATTTCGTAGCACTTTGGGACTCTTTTAAAATCTCCCTGATTCTTGACCGGTCTTGAAAATCTTGAACTCGTTCTCGTGTGGATCTGAGCTCCATTTGCTTTAACTTAAGATCATTAATTCAGAAGGGAACGAAAAAGGAAGAAGTAGTTGTCATACTATGATTTGGACTTATTTCTCAACATGATATGAAAACTTCAAGGTCCAATGCCTTGATTCGCGCCGGACCAGTCTCTTTTTTTGTTGAACGCGGTTTGTCTCGCAAGCAAAATTTTCGTGTCCATTAATTTAACTTTCAGCTTGTTTTCTTTTACTACACTGTCGTAAGTAATGAGTCATCTATCAATACTTGATATTTTCAAATTATGCTTATTTTAATTTCTATTTTCACTTTATCTACTCTATTTCCGGATATAATGAATATCAAATTTCCCTGACTAAATCTTTTTTTTATTGTCCAGCTATAAAATTCTCGGTAAAAAATCTCCTGCTTGCACGATCACAGCTCTTCAAAACTTATTAACACCTAAGTCAAGTGGTTGAACCAGCCAAAGTGAGGAGGGTGGCTGAGACCTTCAAGCTTCAAAGACAACGGTCAAAACTTTCCCACAAATTTTGATTGACAAGAAACTTCTCGGTCAAACCTTCCTCTTCCTTAGTACTTTTTATTTTTCCAGGAGATACTTAAAGATTTTGCACAAATTTTCCCCCACAAATCTAATGATTATATAAATTCTTTACAGCTTTTTCCTTTCATCGTAGCTTCCAATTTGAAGTATTTTTGTCTTTTTCATGTAAAGTCAAAAGAATTGTCACATTTTCTCTATTAAGGGGAGGCTTACAAGTAGCTGCCTCTAATTTTGATGCAGTTTATAGTTCTGAACAGTTCAAGGAAAGCTGATTGATGGGTGTTTTCCAGTTTTTGCCAATAGACGCTATTAGTGCAACGTCACAGAAAAGCGATATTTATCGATTTTTTCGCATTGGTAGCATTGAAAGAGGTTATGCCAATGTTAATGTTTGGATCCAATTCGATATAATGGAGAATCCCTATGATGACGTCGCCACTAATAGCGTCTATGGCCCATGAAACCCCTCATTAGGCTGTTAAGAAATGCCCCTCCCGCTCTCTTTCTCTCTCTCTCTTTCTGAAAATAAATTGCGGTATAAAGAATGATTGTTGCTACCACATATCTTTCAGCGGTAGCTTAGCAGCTCAGTGCTCCCACCGCGATCAAGAGGCCGTGGTTTAAGTCCTATGCCAGTTACTTTTTTTAAAGGTTCCATTCAATTTTAAGTACATATTTTATAATGCAAAAAACCTTTCATACCTAGAACTCCCTACCTACAAAAATGAAATTCTAAAAAATCAATATATTTGATAGGCTCAATGATAAAAGGAAATCTTGTTTAAATCAATTGTATAACTCAGCAGGCAGTTTTTTCTCTTTTCAACAGGAGCTCATCTTATACAGTGATCGTGTAGAATTATGTTATTGTGAGGTATAAGTTTTAGTAAAGAGGTTTTTTTACAGTAACATTTATTGTGAGGTATAAGTTATAGGAAAGAGGTTTTTTTACAGTAACATTTAAAATTGAATACCTATAACATGGAAAATGAGCATCCAAGTCTCTGGGAACTTGAATTTATTATTATTAATAATACGTAGGAACTTAGCTAGCGCTTTTCTAGTTAGGTAATTTTCTATTACTGTAGAGCTGCACCAATCATGTGCTTTGTTCTATAGGATTACCAGTCACCAGACATCAACAGCTTTATTTTTCGCAGATAAATGAGGGAACATTAAAGTGATAATCTTTCCAGTTGAGTAGTTACTCAAGAATAGTGGATGGGAACCGAATAAAAATCGGGACAAATTGATGGGGTTTATTTTAAAGATGTTTAAAAGGCATTTATTTACCCACTAAAAATTCTATCTCTTTGCTTGTAAAATGTTGGTTTAGTTGGCATGCGGTGTTATAATCAATGGCTCTGTAGTGGATGAAGTTCTGTGGATTTTGTTCCTAACTAACCCATCCCTGTTGTTTAATATCTGCTAATGAAAATTATATCTTTTTGTGATACCTAGCAATTTTTTCATGGTTTCAAAATTTCTGCTGAAAGAAAACATTAATTCTATTTTCATAGCCCATGCCCTGGAAACTGGCAGCTAAGAGGAAGACTCAAGTAATTGGCACGGTCCATCGATTTAAGGTTGAATCGTAGGTATATTGGGCTCCTTGCCGCTGTAAACATCCCAGGTTTGACAGATTCATATAACTCTTTATGATTAGACCGAGCTGCTCACTTCATTCCACCTCTCAGCCACCAGTCTTCAAGGTGTCAATTATGATACTCTAGGTACTCTGTTCTCAAAAAACTTAAATCGTATGAATTTCTTCAATTTTTATTCACGTATCGAAAAAGAGACTGACAACTAGAGTGAAAAGGTAATTTTTTTTACTGCAAATTCTTACAAGGATTGTGGGTAATTTTTCTTTTAATGTGCTATGCTCTGAAGGAAAAGCCACTTTGTTTTTGGGTTCCTCATTGGAAATCCTCCAATAAAACGTTTTCCGAAGCAAATACCTTTGAAAGATCAGAATGCCATGGTACCTATTGTGCCTCAGCTCTCAACTTTTAAAATCAAAATTCGACGAGCGTGGCAATGATGCAGTATTAATAAATGTAAATTACCATCATAACAAAATCTGATATAATGTGCTCACCTCAGTAGGACTAGCTTGATAAATATTTCCTCAGCCAATATGTACCTAGCATAAATAATGATTCAAGATACCTGATTATATAATACATTAGTCACTAGTCATGCATCAAATTGCTACTTAAAGCACCTAAAATGGGACGGCGCTCTTTAAAATTTTCCCTCTTTTATGAGAGAAGTGTTTTCTATTAAATGAAAATTTTGTTGCAGGTTTGAAACTACTGATGCTGCAATGCAATCCATCTCTTTGAAACCAAACTCTGTTTTGTTGCTCAGAATCTCTTCAAATCTAAACTGAGTTTCCTCTCTCAGCTCCCACAGTAGTACAGCTCCTATACGCAACGACTGAAGAAGCAGTTATTTTTTTAACATCCCAAGTTTTGCCCCCAGGATTTTGGATAATGCTGCTCAACTAGCAACAAGCCATCTGAAAGAATTTTATTTTTGACGTAATAAAATTGTAAGTTTCATCATGTTCCTTAAAATTTCACTATCTTTAATAAGCCTGATTTTATGTGTGCAGAAAAGGCTAAACAACTTATAGCAGTATGATTTTACTCCTAATGTATATCAATAAACTGTCTACAGTCCCAGGAGGATTTCTGGAGGTTCCGCGGAACATGCGAACCGAAATGGAAAGCTGATACTAAATTTGCCAAACGTTTTATTCATGAATTAAGTATTGTTCAGAAAAAACTGAAAATAAAAGCTTGACAAATAGGGATGTAAAAATTTCTGTAATTTTCATTATATGTTTTTATGAACTCAAGGAGGAGTAAATGTGAGAAACCCTGAAGTTAATTATGAGAAAAAAAGGAAGGAAAACACACCAGTTGGGGCTTACTGGTTCTCAGTATATTTTGATGCATGTTAAATAAGATCATCATGTTGCCAAAACCAAAAAACTAAGTAGGCGATTAGGTCTGGCAGGAGCTCAGGGGTGCAGAAAGTTCCTAAACGCTGACTGTTAGCTGCAATCCAGCATTTGTGACACAGTTTTTCAAGTTGTTGTCTTAGTTTTATCACTGATTCATTTTCAGCAATAGTTTCATTCTGAACTGCTCCTAACTCAATTAGTGTGCTCAATTGTTTAGAATGATACTTGGTTCCTTTCTCGTGAATTTGGTCCATTTTATGTTCAGAGTAACTCGAAACAACTTTGAGAGGCTGAACTTTTAAAATCTGCTAGGGAGCCTCCCAGACCCTAAGCTCACACGCTAGCATATATGCTCAAAACCTTCTTACAACCTATGAGCTTGAGGGGCAGGAACTGCCTATGACTTTCGGGCCTATTTTTTCTCCTAGCTCATGAAAAGTTCTGGGTTGAAAACTCGTTGCACCCAAGATCAAGAGCTCAGAGAAACCGTCTTTCTTAAATCTTGTATTATAAGGAAAAGCCTCCAAGTTTCTTCATCCTAACCTTGTTGAAAAATTACTATGAATTGAAGAATGAACCTGAACAATTTAAATGTCATTCAAAATTCAGGATGAAGTTCATCATTCTGAATCCCCCTCACGCACATTTTCCTCACTGCTCTAGAAACTGTAAAAAGCATCATACTTTGGACTAATTACTACATTTAAATCTCAGTCAATAAATGCACTATGGTCGGATATCCGTGTTGTTTCAATTTTTTTTATTCTTTTTGTTCTAGTCTCGGACAATCATGGATGAATTATCGGATGCGGATAAGGTGAGCGTAGAGCTAAATGTATCAACAGATGAACTGAAGCTAGAGGAAGTTCCTGAATATGACACTCGAAGTGAAGCCGAGTCCAGCAGCTCCTCCTCATCCTCTCAGAGTATGAACTCAGTGAGCTCTCAATCATCATCGGGTCGTCGTGATCATAAGTCGCGGAAAAAATTCACCGGAGAAGCAGCTATCTCCCCTGAAGAAAAACCAAAAAGAAAATCGTATGATTACATCACCAAAATCAATTATCTGTTTAGAGATGCACAGTTTTTCTTAATTAAAAGTAACAATCCTGAAAATGTTGCCCTGTCAAAAGCTAAAGGTGTTTGGTCAACGTTACCGCAAAACGAATCGAAATTAAACCTAGCCTTCAAACAGGCACGAAATGTCATTTTAGTATTCTCTGTGAAAGAGAGTGGAAAGTTCGCCGGCTTTGCACGTTTAGCCAGTGAATCATCTCATGATGGTCCACCGGTTCCTTGGGTTCTCCCGCCAGCACTACCAGCCAAAATTTTAGGAGGAATTTTCAAAATCGACTGGATCTGTAAAAGAGAATTATCTTTCAATGCAACATTGCACTTGTATAATGAGTGGAATGAGCATAAACCAGTGAAGATTGGCAGGGATGGTCAGGAAATCGAACCTGAATGTGCTGCAGAGCTGTGCAGATTATTTCCAGAAGATGAATCCATTGAGCTAACTCCTATTTTAAGAAAATCTAAAGAAGCGAAAGAGGCTGGAAAAGTGAATAGACCTCTCAGAGGTCGTAGCTCTTATCGCACTGGTTTCCCACGTGTAAATTCAAACAACCGTTTCCTCAATCGATTGGTCAGAGGTCGCGGGAGGGGAGGGCCAGTAAGAGGCAATGGTCCTGGCCCTCGTAAAATATTTGTTGGTCCTCGTGATCGTGTAAGTCCACGGAATAGGAAGCCAGCAGGGCGTTCTGTTAGAGACAGATTGTCCTGGGTGAAAAATGGGCGTCATACGCCACCTCCTTTTTCGAATCCTGCTGATGCTTATGTTGCAGACTATGTACGCAATGTTTCTCACCCTTTAGCCCCCATGCCTTATGCTGCCCCTCCTGGGATGTACCCACCTGCCACTTACGAAGGTATGCCTCCTCCTCCACCTCCTCCACCCCGCTATTATGACGGCATACCTCTACCTCCTGAATATTTAGCTTTAAATCGTAGTAATGGTCTTTCAGATAAACATTCTTATGACAGATCGGTTGATGAGTTCCTGTGGCGTACTAGTGAGAGAGTGAGATCCCGAGAAAGGTCTCATGAGAGATCTCGGGGTCGTTCAAGGTCAAGAGAGAGACTCCGCGAAAGGGAGCGTGATCGAGATAGAGATCGGGACCGCGATCGGGACCGTAGCCGACACCGTAGAGAACGTGACAGACGAGAACGGGAACGCTATCACAGAGATAGGCGTTGAAGAGAATTGTTATGATTGTGATCTCATTATTTTTTATCTTATTAATCTTCAGATTTGTTTAAGTTACACCACTTGCTCCTCTGTATACTTTCAACCAATCACGTGTAAATTGTATAGACTGGTGAATCGTGGGGCTCTTCGTTTCACCCCCTCTTGTGTATTATGCTGCAATCTTAGCAAATATTTTTTTGAAAAATCATTGTTGAGTGTGAATTTGTTGTGATATAATTTCACTCCTTTGTTATGTGTCAAATTTGCATTTATTTGAAGTATGAATTGGACAATTTACAAATTGTGGAACAATCTTGCAATATTTTAGTGTAGGAGGAAAAAAGTTTTCGTCAATAGCAAGAAGTAATGGTTTTGAATATAAGTCATGATACTGATCCTAATGATTTTTTGTTGTTGTATTGATCAAATTTATTTACCTACTGAATTATTTGAAATGCAGGTAAACAGCTACTATGACTTGGTCGAAAAGAGCCCTGAGTTACGGGTTGCAGCTGTTCTATTCAAAGCGGTTTGATTGTTTTGAGTGTAATTGTAGTTAAGTTCGTTTCACGAATATAGTAAAAAATGAGGAAAATCTCATGAAAGTTTCCTCTAGTAACTAACGTAACCTATATCGCAACAAGATTTGATCTCTATTGTAACTTAGTATCTGTAAGGTTCCTGTAATATTGACGTGTGCACTCTGATATTGTTTCACTCAATTAGTTCTGATGTTAAATCTTCACTCTGTCTGATCTCAGAGTTACGGGAAAGCTTGCAAGCAGGCTCTAGGAACGTATAACAAAATGATATACATCATGACCTTTTTGTCTCTTTATTGTTAAAAAAGGATCGCTCAAAACAGAGGAAATATAACTTTATTTCCTTGTAGTGACTCAGACAATCCAGTCAGAAATTTTACTCAGATTCACTGTTTCCTGTCCAGCTGAAATCGGCACATAGGCAACTAGTCAAACTATTAGTCAGACTTACAGGTCACATTTTCCTGGGCTGCTGCTTCGAATTTCTGCTTTTGTTTTTAAGTTCTGTCAGTCAAGTCCCATTAGTTGAAATTTAATACAGGATTTATTGTTAACCTTTTTCCTCTTTAAAAAATGCCAGCGCCAAAAGAGGTTCCTGCCGTATAAGGAGTTGAATGCCAGAAATTTCAGAAGCCACCCAGATCAAAACCTGATTCATTGGGCTGCCAAACGAAGCTGTTCCAAGTTATGTTATCTTAGGTTTTTTATACTTAATAAATTATTTTGTCAAAAAGATCAATTGAATATGTTATAGTATAAGAAATATTGTAAAACACCAAAATATGCACTACCATCTCTTATTTTATGGATTTGAATTTTGACTGATCTGAAAAGGCTTTGAATAATTCTCCTTTTCAAAAAAAAAAAGTCATTAATGGTCAAATCTTTGCATCGGACTTTTTACTCTGTACTCGGCTAACAGTAAACAAAGCAAGTAGTTGCTTTGAAGTTTTTTCTGCCAAGTAGTTGAGAGGTAAAATGAGAAAAAAAAGTTGATGCAGACATATAAATAAAAGATAACTTCGTGTCTTTGGGTATGCCTTTGGCTTCATTGCACTGTGATGTTTTTAAGTTTTCAGCTTTCTTGAAATTCAGCAAAGCTTTAAACCATGTCTCTGTTGTACTTATCGAAATTTAACCGTCCTCCATCTTAAAGGGCTTCTGAATTACAACCCTTACTTGATCCTGCTCTCTCCCCAAAATAATGAAGGTTTAAATAAGCTGAGGCTAATATCTTTCTGTAAACTGAAGAATTCTCTTTCAATTACCGTACTGTAATGTCGACTGTAGGGACTAAAATACAATTAGGAGCCTCTTCTTTAAGATCTTATAAAAGTAATTTACTTATTCTTTAGAACCTTTCCTGTAGAAAATAAGGAGGAACGAATATTACTTTCGAGGCTTCCTAATGGTCAACTATTTCCAGACTGTAAAATCTGTAGTTTGAGAACTTCATTCTTCCACAGCTATTGAACAACGATCAACTGGGGGCAACACAGAGTTTTGAAACTTTCTGCTGCTAATGCCAAGTAATTGAAGTGTTTCAACGTTAAGTTTAGATTTTGGAAGAATGGCCTTTTCATTTAGTTTTAGGCTCTTGGAAAGTATGCCTAGTAATACCTGTAGGATATGCTGTGTGAAGTTGCAAACAATTCGATGGTGAAACTGTCAAACCAAGGAGCCATTGAAGGGCTCGATTTCTTTCAGGAAAATTAAAAAATTGTTGACTCACATTATCTCCTATGGTAGAGACATAACAATTTCTCAATAACATAACAACAAGATGCTCCTCAACACTGTGCAAGCATCTTTGGAAATGACTTTATCCACCAAAAACTGTGCAAGAAAAACCGGGAATCAATTTTTGCAAATTAGGGTCCAGCTCTTTATTGCGAGATAAGTAAATTTAGAATTGAGACTCTGAGCAGGGTTTTATGTCAAATTCCTAATTTCAATTTAATGAAGGTGACACATTAAGTCCTAATAACAGTGAGCTGAAATTCACTTAAAGAAAGTAGCTATAAATCTTAAAAAATCTCTTATTACAATGTTGCATTCTACTCCCAATGGGTTATTCAGGGAGCATTCATACAGGGCTCTGATGGTTGTAGGAGTAACAATAATCGAAGCAATGCTATGATTAATCACCCAATGAATACTGGTTTTCTATGCAGACTGTAGATTCGCCCAGGGGTTAGCATAAGGTACAAGTTTTGCATAGTGGCAATGAGATAGATGAAATTAGAGGTACCTATGTGTTTTGATAACTTCCAACTTTTTTTTTACCAAATTATTTTGATAACAGTTCTCATACATCTCTCCTACGTTGCTTATTTAAAACTGACAAAAATCAAGTTGCGTGGTTTGCAAGTTTCACCATTGCAAGATTTTAAAGACATGTTTCATTATTAGAAGTTGTGATTATCGAAGAGAACACCTCTGCATGAAAAAAAAAATTCCTTTTTTCAAAAGCGGGCTGCATATCAAGAAACTGTGAACCGACTGTTACCGTTGAGTGTATCTTTTCTCATTGTTTTTCAAATTTTTATATTTCACCCTTTCATTTTCATAAAAAAGGAAAAACCTGAGCGGTATCCCTTCATCAGTGTCACTGCAGCAAGTATTTCACACGGACAGTTTGGTGCTTCTCTCCTTTAAAAGTTCAAAATTGAATTTTGATTTTCTCTGTAAATTATCGGATTTTGATAAATATTTTTGTATTTTTATGTAGGCTGGAATTAAAGATGTCGTTTTCTGTAATTTTGTTGTTAAATCCGTCCTAATTCAAATCTCATCCAATTTTCCCAAGTCCTTTGTTCTAGTGATATCTCATCAACCGAGAACACTGATAACTATCCTCTGAATGGGGTTTATGCACAAGTTCTTTTTGAACAATTGAAGGATGCTATCAATAGAAAAAATAGACTTTCTTAATTTAAAGATAAATCTATTTGAATATGGAATGCACACAGTGAACCAAAATTATCATTCCTGATTTTGCACCTTCAACAAGAGTTATTTTCAAACCAACCTTGCACAGAGCTGCCATCAACATATTTTTTCCACAATGTCTTTCCACTGATTCAAAGTTTTAATTCCTTTTAATTCATGTTTTCTGGCTGAACAATTTTGCACTAATGTTTCACCCTCAATCACACGGAACATAAAAAATGTGAGTAAAATCTTGACTCCTATAAAAAGTAGGCACTCAATGTAGTATATGTCTAATCAAATACCATGGTACCGATTTCATATGATATTGGTTTAAATCCTAAAATTATACAAGATGAATGGTAAAACTATGAAACGGCAAATGGTGGTTTGGGACATTGCAGATCTCTTGTTTAAATTTACTTTTTAATGGCCGCATTGCTCTAAATTCTGTCTCTTTCTCTTTTTTTTTTGTTTTTTGACCTCTTGAGAATATTTCATGAAATTTTTGTTTAAAAATTTTGAGTGATGCTATCCTTAGAAAATGAGGTAAGAGTAGAGATTCAAACAGCTACAATCGAGATTTATGCTTTTCTAGTTGCACCACCCACATGGATTTATGAAAAATTTTAAGTTACGAATGCTATCTAAATAATCATAGTCCTGCCTGAGTTGCTGTCTTATTGTACCTGCTACTGTTCGCAGGTGAAAGGGGTTCTTTTGTGAAAGGAGATTGTTCAAATAGTTTACTTTAATTTTGACGGGAAAAGAGAGAGAAAATATGAAAGTTAGTAAAACTGCCATGTATGACTGTTCAGTCTTCTCTGAGAATATTCACTGAAATTGTCTTCCTAAGTTATGCCAGGATGTAGCTGGACTGAATTCAGGAGGGGTAAACCATGTCTCAATAAGCTAAAACAGCGGAATTTTTTTTCGTCTTATATCATGAAAATTGTCCATGGGACATCTAATGATTTTGTTTTTCTCTTTCATGAAACTGAAGCTTAAAAAATGGATTTCAAATCTATGCCTATTGATACTTAACCATGCAAGTTGCTGGAGTTCACTCAAATTTCATCGACGTAGAAGAATATGCCACTTGGTTTATGCCAAATTCTGTTCAAAATTTCTTCAGTTTTGAGTCATTTCATATCAAAAGAAATTACTTGTAACATGCTGGCCGATACTTACTTCCGTACAGAGATATTGCTTCCGTATACAAATTTCAAAATTTCCCGCAATTTTAGTCTATTTGGTCTCAGCCAATCACCATCATTGGCGGGGGCCGTCAGCAAATCAGAGGTGACCTCTTTCCCGCCACAAGTAGCAGGGATTGCTGCAATGCCAGTATCGTCAAATTAATTGTTGTTTTTCTACATCCAGTGATAAAAAAAAGTGAAAGGTAGGGATGTTCGATTAGTCAAATAATCGATTAATCGTAATCGGTAGTAACCTAGTTTTAATAATCGATTACTACGATTAATCGGAATCAAATAATCGATTAATCGATTAATAATCGACTATTAATCGATAAGATCGAAAGCTTTGATAATGCTTTTTGAATCTCTTATTTTTTACCATCTAAGTAAGCTGTTTAGTAGTTTTCTTACTTTGTTTATTTTCTGTTAAAATACCTAAAATTTTGGGCAGTTTTGCCTGTATTTGTATCTTAAATCTTACGAAGAAAATTTTAAATAAAGAACTGGTAAAATTTTGAAGCTGCACCATACAAAGAGATGAGGTTGTTGTTTTCAAAATCGGGTTCCTCATACTTACAGTCTATACGGAAATAATAATTATTGTTTGTCTACTTAGTTGAAGAATTCATTCAAGAAAAAAAATGTTTTTCGACTGAGTCCACAATGAGGACTTAAAATTGACGCGCTGGGTGCAAGGGCATTTTGCATAGGCTCACGTGCACATGCACGATAGAATGTAATAACATAACAACACAAGAATAATTTTCATTCAAAAGGCGCGTTGAAAACTTTCATTTGCTAATGAATAAGATATCGCTGAATTACAGAGTTGATTAAACATTAAAATCAGACTGATGGAATTTCGAGGAATACTTGGTTTGGAAAATTTGATGTGATCGTAGCACAAGAAGAAATGAAATAATTGAGCAAGAAAGTAAGAAAGAACAAGACCGCAGCTGCAGCTACATCTACAGCCGGGGGGCCAATCAGATTTTAGTGCCAGCCGACGTCATACTTAAAAGTCCAATCACATTTGGTTTGGGTGGTTTTATCTGACGTATCTGACCCATGGCTGGAGGTGGATCAACCTTTTGTTTGAATTAATCGATTATCGTTTGAAGTAATCGATTGTATACGATTATCGATTATTTTTTATTAATCGTTTGAAGTAATCGATTAGACGATTAATCGGGGAAGACGTAATCGAGTACTAATCGTAATCGAAAGGTAACCGATTAATCGATTAATCGGTTAGTAATCGATAATCGGAACATCCCTATTAGGGCACGCGCTATCACTGCTATCAGCGCACTGCAATGTAATTCATTTTCGCCCCCGTGGTTCCGTGAGAAAAAAAGTAATGTGTATTGTGTAAATAAATACAAGACACTCCTCCCTGCATCTGCCGGATGTCAATTAAGGAATGACTCGCGATTCCCAGACTCCTGGAAACCGTGTAATAATTACTCTCCTGCCTTATTACAGATTCAGCAGGTAGCACCTCCTGTTGCATGTGCAAAATCATGCTGAGTTAATCAGACGATCAAGGAGGATGAGCAGGTAATAATTTTCATTTTAAACCCTCCAACTTTTATACCTATATTGCTTGAAAGCTTTGTTCTTCAATACCTATATGAGCATGACCATGTATGAAACGGATATCCTGATACTGTAGGGTAGGCGTTTCTCAATTTATTTTCAACCAAACTTCTCATGACGCTACCAAGGTGCCTGCTGAATTAGATTTGCTTGAAACATGAAGTAAGAACTTGTGCCAAAAAAACCCATGCCAAATATGTAAGTTTCTGTGCTCTTAGTAGTGGTTTAAATTTTGTTGTTTTACAGTAGGGCTTTTTTGTAAGCTGAACTGCAACGGAACACAATGAAACGCTTCACTTTTTTATCCCGGTCCTCTTGTGCTGTCCAGCCTGATCCTTGCATTTCAGTGAAACGCTTGGATCGCAGTTACACGCAATCCTAGCCTGTAAAGCTGTAATCATGCAACAAACGTACAGCCACCCTATTAATTTTTTCCCCCACAGAATGGTATGAAATTGGTCCGCTCTGTAGAGCTCCTTATCCGACCATGAGTTGAAATTCCTCCTCCAATAGGCTTTGAATAGCCAGTACTTACTTAATCCTTGTAGTGAATATAGATCTCAGAAGGTTGAAAAACCTCAACTTGCAATGTATGAAAAATCTACACGGAACAACATCTTATCTTTGCAGGAAAGTGTTGGAGATAAAGACACTATAAGTTTTCTGGAGCCCTTACCTACTGAAGCAAGTATATAACCCAAGCAGTCCCAAAACCATGGCTCTGAGAGGAATTCAAGTTTTAGAGTTAGCTGGCTTAGCACCTGGTCCACTGTGTGGGATGATTCTCGCTGATTTTGGAGCTTCTGTCATAGTCGTTGATAAGGTAAGTGTTTTTGTACTGCTTGCACGGAGGTCATGTTTTTCAGTGTAATTCGATTTAATGAAGCTAATTTGAAGGTGAGATAAGTGGTACTGAACCTGTAGTCAACAGAAATCCATTAAGGGGTGTCCAAGATGAAAATGGTACTTAACTGTACAGAAATGAGCAAAAAAATATTCAAAGTCGAGAAAAAGGAGGGAAAGAAAATTATGCCAAAGAGAGAGTTTGAACTTTGAAAACTAATACAAATCTTATGTCTACTGTTGAAAATCTTGCTACTTTCCTGTACCAAAATTCTGAAGAATTTAGAGCAACAAAAGAAAGCGTTTGTTGTCCTTCTATTTTTTTTTACATTTTTATTTCTTTGAAAATGTTGGTTTGTTTAGGGCCCAAATTTTGTTGGTTTACGGTCAACGGCATGTTGCAGAAACCAACCTCTAATTTTGATAATAAACCAGAAAAATCATATTCTATACTCAAGCTGCGGGCAAATTGAGCTTTTTGTACAGCAGGCTCGATCCATCATTCGTTCCTCAACGGTGTAAACCATTAATTAGAGATCAATCAAAAAAGTCAACATTCTTTCTGCAACTTTCAGCTGCAAGTGAACTAGCCAAAAAGATTTGGGCCTATAGATTATTTAGTGGAAAAAGTGTCAGGACAAGAGAGATTCAATTCAAAATTTAAAAGAATTTAGAATCTTGAATTCTGTGGGGGTCTTGGGGCAAAAAGTTCGGGGACTGCTGGGTGAATGAGGAGATGATATAACCTATCAGATCCTGTCTGTGAAATTGCAAGAATGTGTATCTCTTAAATGGAAAAATACGCAGCATTATTTCTTGAAAACCTACCAGATTTTTCTTCTTTGTGCACAGAATTCTCAATGAAAATTTCGAGCAATATATAACGTCAGTTTTTCTCCCTTGATAAAACATAATGGGAGTGGAAATTTTGAAATACTGCAAACAAGATACGCACTCCTGTATGATCTATTCACTTCCTTCACCAAACTTACAAACTTTTCTCTCTTTTCGTGTGTGTTTAAAGGTTGGACCCAAGCTTGACATGAATTTCTTATCAGAGGGAAAATCATCTATGAACGTTGACCTGAAGAACTCTAAAGGGCAGGAATTTTTCCGTAGAATGGTTAAACAGTCTGACGTTTTGATTGAACCATTCCGAGCTGGTAAATTTCATCATAGGCTTATTGCAAGATGCAGTATAATTTAAAGTTTCTGTTTTATCTAACAGTTATTTCTGTTCTTATTTTAATTTTAACATCATTTGAAGCCAGTTATCACAGTAAAATTATACAAACTTTAAAACAGGAATTTTAGGAACAAGTAGTAAATCAACAAAAAAATATAAGGCTTTCAACTTCTAAAAAACCATTTTGAACGGGCATTTGAAAAAACTTTTATGAAAACATTAAAGTTTTCATCATTTATAACATTAAACATTTTTTTGTCTTGTGTGACTGTCCCAAAAATTCCTGTTGTATATTCTCAAAATTTTATTCATACATAATATTGATCAGTTTTAGAAAGAACTACGATTTTATTGCTTTCATAGTTTTAATTTTATTTTGGCTAATGGTGGGTTAATGATACCCGATAAGTATCCAAAATAAAATTCTCTTCCAACCCAAAATGAACAGAAATCTTATCGTAATGTTGAGGTAACCTTGCAGCGGAAATGTGGTAAGGTCACAGGAAAGGTTATTGCATGAACATTTTTGTTGACCCAATGATGCTAAAATTACCGCAACATTACAGTAATGGTCTGGCAAAAAGTCAGTAACATTGCGTTAAGGCTATAATAACTTTGCAAAAATTTCTGCAATAGCTTCGTTGATCCCTTTCCTTTAAAGAATTTCTGTACGATTTCGATGAGTCCATTGGGGCAACCTTGGGTTAATCATTCTGTTGTAAGCATTGTTATGCTCTCTGGTTGCAAAAAATGGAACCACTCTCTATCACACGAATTTCATACCTATGCCTCTAACAGAATTACTTACAGAACAGATATACTAGTAACTTACATGAGGAATGATACTACTAGATCATAGAAATTTACTTACCTGCTACTAATGAGTCTCTATCCTGGGTTGAGTGCATTTATGCTGAGCTACTGAGACATAACGTACGTACGGTACTCTCTTGCTATAATGAATCGGCAAGGGACCAGGCGTTTCCTTCGCGAAAGAGAGATTTTTGTTATAATGAGTGTCGTTATAGCGAGAAAATCGTTCAAGGGACCGGGCAATTCCTTCGCAAAAGAGAGATTTTCGTTATAATGAGTGTTGTTATAACGAGAGAATACAGTATTAGATATAGAGGTGTCTTTCTAAGGCCCTAATCAAAACAAATTTTAAGAAGTTATAAGGATGTCACAGAAAATTTTGCTTTCATTGTCTCTGCATCAAGGTTTCCAATAACACAAGACAAGGGTCACACACAACTCTGCCAAGAGCACCACTGGAGTTAGGAAAGTTTTGAAAAAGCAAAAATTTAGTACCTATTACATTCCGTATAAATGGCGCTTTAAGAACATTGTAGGGTTGATGTCTCTAATTTTTTTTTTCATCCACAGGAGTTATGGAGAAATTGAATTTAAGCCCTGAAACTCTACTCAAAGATAACCCAAAGTTGATTTTTGCTCGATTGACAGGATATGGACAGTCTGGACCTTACAGTTCCAAAGCAGGGCATGACATCAACTATGTATCCTTGTCAGGTAAAAAGTTCTGTCATCAAAAATGAAGGGAAGGAAAGGAAACAGGAATATATATTCAATTTTTATCTTTTCAAATTTATAACTCCTAAAAGAAATCTTTTCTGCCAAAAACTGTTCTTCTCTCTACTGAGTGAGCTGTGCTTTCTTTTTGGATGACAGTACTTCCTCCTCCCGCAAAGAATGTGAGAAAGTGTCAACAACCAGTTTGGGTTAAAAAATATTGATTTTCATTTTTCGATGCTGAACAGTTTCTAATAGGTAGGTTCTTTAAAGAACATCTCAAGTAGCAGTGATCATGATTAACAGCGATTTTATCAGTTGATTATCGCGTTTATATCGATGGCAATTTATCGCAATATTATTGAATAAAAAATTGCGATTTATGGCGATTAAATCGCTATGCATTGCAATTTTTTGTTCAATAAAATCGCGATCAATTTTTGTCGATAAAATCGAGATTAAATCGCCATTTATCACGATAGATTGCAGGGTGATCAAATCGCGATTTTATTGCAACAAGATCGAGGATAATCGCTCAGATTTTGACGATCTTAGTGATTTTATCGCCGACAAAATCGTAACTAATCGCTATTTTTCCGTTGAAAAATGCTGCTTGGGATTAGGTAAAATTTCAAGGCATTGATTCACATTATTGATGAAATCATGAGCATTTCAACCCTCTCTCTGAAGGGTGGCATTAGTGCCAGCAAAATGTACTTGTATTTTTCTTCAGTCACTAATTTTTGGTCTTCAAACCTTAAATTACTGCCAAAAAGTCACTTTTTGCAATATTTGGGTAGTTTTGGTGCCAAATGATATTTGTAGATCCAACCTCTCTGAGCTGTAGCAGTCATGTCATTTTTCCCCCACTCTAAGACATTTTTTGCCTGCCTTAATCACAATATATGAGGTCATGCCACTAATACTTTTGAAAGGACTATGCAAAGAATACAAAAAAATTTGGCTTCGGCTAAATTTTGAGATTTATAGTTTCATGCCATTCCCTACAATTTCCTCTCTGAATAATATGAGTTTTAAAATCTTACTCTCTTTGTGTTAATCTTGAGAAAATCGGGTCTGAAAAGTGTAATTTTCTGCAATTTAACTCATGTTATCGAACAAAGAAGTAGCGCCATTGCTGTGTCAAAGATGCGGAACCTTTTTTTAAATGAGTTAACAACTTGCCTAACTTGCCTTCTCCAGCCGGCAAAAAGAGATCACCTTATTATTGCTTAATAATGTGTGGAAAACTGCCGAAATATGCACTTTTTAAACCCAATTTTCTCAAGAGTGGTAGGTAGGAAAGTTCATTTTAAAATCTCATCTTCCTCAGATGATTGTTCGGAACATCATAGGTATAAAAAACCTCGAAATTCATAAACTTCCAAATTTCTTAGTATTCCATGTGTAGTCCTTCATTTTAATATTTTTAACAATGGGCCTGTTGCAAACTTTTGCTAGAGCAAAACTAAGAGTTGTTTCTTATAGATAATGCCTCAAAAATCACGATGAGCGCATCGGCAAACTCTGAAATGCACTCATAACTTCACAATCTGCGTAAGAAATTTGCGGATTTTTGAGCTTCCCGCTTCAAAAACGATACTACGGCACAGGTGAACATTTTGTAAGAGGAGTCGTTCCATCGTCGGCAATAATCATCATAGCCGACGCCAATCCGCCAAAACACGTTTGATGGGACGAGATAACACCTGAACTGGATTAGACCAGATAACAATCGGTGTGTTAACGTTCATATTTTCCACGCCCGAATGGATTGACCTTGAACTCTCCTTGAATTACGCGCGGAACTGCGTGCAAGCGTCGGCCATGATGAATATCGCCGACGATGGAGCGACTCCTCTAACAAAATGTTCACCTACGCCGTAGTATCGTTTTTGAAGCGGGAAGCTTAAAAAAACGCAAATTTCTTACGCAGATTGTGAAGTTATGAGTGCATTTCAGACTTTGCCGATGCGCTCATCGTGATTTTTGAGGCATTATCTACAAGAAACAACTCTTATTTTTGCTCTAGCAAAAGTTTGCAACAGGCCCATTCAGATGTAACACTGGTAAGATGATTAGATTCTATGAAATAAAAAGCACATAATTTTTATTTGTCTTCATTCACTTTCATAATTCTCTTTCAATCATATTTCAGGTCTATTCTCATTATTTGGTTGGAGAAATAAGCAGCCCACCCCGCCCGCAAACTTTGCTGCTGACTTCGCTGGTGGTGGTCTATCTTGCGCTTTGGGCATTGTCATGGCTTTATTTGAGCGTGAGAAATCAGGGCAAGGGCAAGTTGTCGATGCCAGTATGGTAGAGGGAGCTGCATACACTGGCAGTTGGTTCTTTCATTCTAAGGAAGCAAGTTTCCTTTGGGGACAACCTCGAGGACAAAATCCGTAAGTGATCTTTCATACAATTCTGATGATTTTATGTTATGCATTTTTATTTAGTTTTCAAAATTCAAATCCTGAATTTTCTGAAGAGATTGACAAAGAGAGGCTTTTGAGTGTCTTTCAGTTTTGAGCACAAACTCAAGTCCTAAGACATTCCAAGAAACACTAATTAACGCAGCACAAGCCATTATTTCCAGCGGCCTCCTTTATATCTGAAGATAAGATTTTAAAATTTGAACAAATCTATTCTTGTTTGGTTTGCAGTGTTGCAAATCTCTCCTTATGTTTTCTATTTCAAAGGAAATTAATTAGCAATTTTATTTATTTCTCTTGTAAAACTTCACTCATTCAAAAATATTCGTAAGAAACGTAAACGAGACATTTAATTGAAAAGGAAAAATAGAAATTAATAAAGCATATTTGGAGGATTTTGAACGTTAACGTAATCATTTTTTGACCAGAGCCATCAATATGCTCCTTCCTGATTATTGATACTCTTTTGAATATCTTGTGGTTATATTCTGCTCTAAAATGGCGAAAGGTTCCTTTTTTTCCTAGTAGAATAAATTTTTACGTACATACATGTACAAAAATACGTTCAAAAAATATGCAGCTCTATAAATATGAGATCGCGTATCAATTTATGCTGATTTTATTAACCAGTATGATCTGGAGATCCAAATTTTGGAGCAACGTTGACTGGTTTATAAAAATCCCTTACTGATTCAAATAGGCATTCCTTGTTAATTTTATGTTGAAGAACTTTTCAGCTTGAAAATTAAAAAAGTGTTCTTGTGGCAAATCATCATAGTGTCTAGTCATGCTGTTCACATAAGGAATAAAACATTCTCTAAAGTTAACAAGGTCTAATTTCTATCTCATCACCTCTAGCTTAGATGGTGGTGCGTTTTTTTATGACACGTATGAAACCAAAGATGGCAAATGGATGGCTGTCGGTGCTGTGGAGCCGCAGTTCTATTCTGCCGCTCTTCACAAGTTAGGTATTGCCGAAGAGTCTTTACCACAGTATACAGGGTTTCAGAAGGGACACGAGGTTTTTGCGGAAAAATTCAGGACCAAAACCCAGAACGAGTGGTGTGAGGTTAGTATTGCAGTTTTCATTAACTTTTATTTCTAGAGTACATTAGAGTCACTATGTCGTGGAGCGCCAATGAAGCCTTTCTTTGAGACTGCTATGTTCAGTATTCCTAAAACTAGTGTGTGGCGACTGGTGATGCAGCATATGTGGGTTCTCAGCTCAGGTAAGGTGGGGTCATAAATAAAGTCCGAGACTAAAAAATGTATTATATTAAAACCAGGAATTTTGTACATTTTTAAATTCATCAAGACGTCGGTTAACATTATTTTCTAAAGGCCGTGAAAATAATTATTTATAAAATTAATAAAGCACTACAAACACTAGTTGCTTGCCATTTGCTGTGTCGTAAAAACTGTGAAATGGGGTTGTTGCATGGGTGAGGGATTTGAGGAAAAAAAATATGTAGTCTTAGAACTTTTCGCGATACAAACGATGGTAACGTTCAAAAAGTCAAAAATCAAGTCCTTAAGCCGGAAAATGCTCGTCAAAGTTCCATCAAATTCAAGTTGAAAATAAACGATTTTATTAACTGAAATTTTACTACTGAACTGAACATTTACTAATATGTGAAATTTTGATGGAAAAACATGGATCATAATGCTTAAGTTTGCACCCTGTTAAGTGTTCTATCATACGGTAATTTTTGTTAAAATAAATAGGTAGTCACTTCACACTTATTTTTACAGGAACTGTAAAGTGATTTTTTTTTTTATTTTTTTTTTACAAAATGTCAATGCTTTAAGATCAAGATCTTAAGAATGATTCTTCAAAGATTTTCTCTTGAAAATCACACCAATTAATAACACTAAATTTCCTCGTTGGAAGTTTAATTTAATTGAATACTTTGTTACAGATATTTAATGGTGACAATGAATGTGTGACTCCAGTTCTTTCATTAGAAGAGGTTGCAGATCATCCTCATAATAAATCCCGCAACTCTTTTTCACGTCTGAATAATTTGGTAATTCCTAACCCTGCTCCAAAACTGAGCAGAACACCTGGAGCATCTTCAGCTCTCAGCCAAAATTCAAATAAAATTAGGACAGAAGATTTTATAAAGAGTTTAGGGATCTCTGAAGAAGAGATTTCCAGGCTCATCTCTGATGGTGTGATAGAATTCAAATTCAGAGCATCTAAGATGTGAGTAAAATATTACATTCTAATAGAGTAACTTCCTGAAAGTCCATATAGACATAGAATATGTATTCGGTTTTTCCAAAGGAAGTTATAATCGGGAAAGGGGGCATATTGTGAATTTCACAATATCCATCTGGATCCGTCAGGTGTGGATTTGAAAACATTATTATTTCCTAGGTATTTTACAATGGTGACCAAAAAAATCTATTCAATCATGGTATACTACAACTTTAAAATAAAACTGCAACTTTTGGTTTCTCGATTTCTGCCGCCACCAAAAATTTGCCGCTGTGGGCACAGGCCCATTTTGCCCCTATGGTTAATCCAGCCCTGAAGGTACCAAAACATCCTGCCTTTGTATTTTGTATTTTAGCGTTGTTTCCGCATTTTCCTGTGTTTTCGATTGTCGTTTTCGTTTCGGGCTCCTTTAACATTCTCTTTGTTTTCCACCATAGTGAAGAGTATACAATATTATCAAAGCTGAAGCAAATTATGATAGCTGTCTACAGGAGAAAAAAACTCGGCCAGGAGAATAAGATGAGAATATATAACAAAGAAATTTACTTTAAGGAAAGTTGAGGTGCATATTTATGCACATGGCATGAACATGAACATGAACTTGCTTAAACACACCCTTAATAGAGGTAAGGTATCTTGTGGAACCTAGCGTTTTAACAACTCAACCTTTTACCACAAGTGATTTTTTTCCTAATCCAATGAAGATTTGTTCATTATCGAGAAACTTACGCGTTGATATTTCCTTGTAGGGACAAGTTGCATGAACATTGTACAAGGGCAAAAATTAAAGAGCATTTTGTTTGGAGATTTTTGTGTTACGGTCAGAACATGACATCATCACTACTTTTTAAGAATCTCCTTGTTTATTTTAGTAAAAAATAATTCTGCAGAATAAATTTCATTCTTTTTACTTCCTGACAAACACATTGTATTGAAAAAAAGTTTGAAAGATTTTATGAACATAACTCGATCACTAATTTTTAAGAATCTCTTTATTTACTTCAGTAAAAAATAACCCTGCAGAATTGATTCCGCTCTTTTTACAACTCAACAAGTATTTTGTATTGAAGAAGAAAGTTTGCGAAGATTCCCTTTTTTGACGTTAAAAAATTGGGGTATCCATGGTCAAAGTGCGAAATCATGTATCTCCATTGCATTATTTCAGAATTTCCTCTTCTATTTTAACTTTTGAAAAGGAACAAGCCAACTTGATAGCTTGAAACCAAGACTGAATATTCTGTCAACAGAGAAGAAAAATTAATACAGTTTTCAAGTTGCAAGCCACAACAGTTTTCCAAGGAAAAAATAAAGTATGACAGGAAGTTTGCAATGTTGCAAACAAAGATAAGTGAATTCGTACTTTAGTCATTGATATTTTCACCTAATATACTCCTTTAAGTACCTGAACTTAAAAAAAAGTCCTTTGTTACGGTTTTTTTTTTCATTTTATTTTTATAAAAATGTTTATTATATTGTTTTAAATAAATGAATATATTTATCTGTATCACTTTTTTTCCATGAAAACCTTTCATTTGATATTAACTTTTTCAGTTCTTTTCCCCAAATTTGTTAAAAAAATATCATTCTCAGCTTCATGATTTAATTTGTATAGGTATTTGTATACATACTTCCTTTTTTTCCATGTAGGCTTGCTTGTGCCAATTATTTGCCAACCAACCTCTTTAAATAATAATAATATTAATATCATTTTTGCATCAGGCTGGTGAAACTGAGTACCTATACCAAAGGGAGTTCAGGCATTGTGTCAACGTTTTAAACTATGAGTGCACATCAGGACTTGCAACACAATACAGATAACACCAATTAAATTTCATCGAATTCCACCAAAAGGCGCAAGCTTGAGAGAGAATCTTTAGAAAGCATATTAGCGTTTTAAAGAGCTTGGCTGTAACAGGTTTTCTTAAAACTAAAAATTGATATTCATGACAATCCCCTCTTCGATATCAAATTATTGTCACGTAATCTCGTATATTTTGCAAACATTTAGCATACCTAAGCGATAAAAGCACCTTCAATATGTCAGAAGTGTCGGTCAGAATTAGGAATGGCATCTTTCTAGGTACATCCTTTTCATGGTGCACCCGTTCCAAAGTCAGCCGCCTTTTTTTATATGCTTTTTTGCCATAGAGTAATGTTTTTAGCGCTTTTTTGGCCCACCTTTTGTAACTACGCGCCCGAACTCGAAGCCGTTTAAAACGTCAACTTGTCTAAATGACGAGTTGTTTACATTCTGACGTCATGGCGGTACGAAATTGCCTCCATATTTGTTTAGTTTCATCATGGTGCTGTATTTATTACGGCTCTCTCTATTTATTGTCAGGAATCATTATTAGAATTACAACGTAATTTTTCCCTCTTGTTTGCGTGCCGAGGTTTTATAGAAACTTTAATCTTTCTTTCAAGTGGTATTTTCGTAATTACCTGAGAGTGAAAAGTTATTTGTCTTTTCTGTGTTTTAATGAATGGGTTCATACTCAAAGCTTCACAGTTGATTCGTCTATTATGGATGTAGGTATGTGATGCATGCCTCTCTATTTTCTCACATTGATTAGTTTGGCTTCGAAATCAACAAACTTTTGCATCTATGCATTCTCATATTTTATTTTGCAACCTGTAGTTAAATTGCTAGTAGTCTCCATGGCATATCTGGATTTTGGCCACAGGGTCAAAGTCTGCCTCCTATGAAAAGCGCCAGGTCTGCATTTATTTTAAGGCCAGAAGACATGAAACTAAAGAATTTCCACAGCAACATCATTATGCACTATTCTAGCCTTTTCTTCTTGCATCCTGAACAAGAGCTTTTCACCAACCTCTTATTCCATGTCACCTCAAACTCTTCAGATTAGGCGTAGACAGCCCAAACTTGGCATGGTGTCGCATCACTATTATAAATCAGTAAATGTAATGCAGATTATGGACCGCAATATGAAGTTATTAGTTGTACATAGAACCAACCGCACTTTAGTTTTTGATGTCCTGAACTTCTTTTTTAGTTTAGTTTGCCTAATGTGACGGTTAGATTTCCCAGCAGTTCGTGTTCTGAATAGCGGTGAAATCAGTCTCTCGGTTTGATCAACCTAGCGTTTGGTTCTTTGCAATGAGTATTTTCAGTAATTAAATCTAGCACAAATGTTATGCTTTGAAATAGTGATGGAGTACCCTGAAGTAAATTTTTCCATGAACTTCTGCACTCTACTGTTGTCTGCCTTGTTAGGCATGAGCCTCAAACACTATGCAACCCTCACTTAGTTCTAGTTTTTTGTTCAATTCCTCAGTATCCTTCTCTAATCTCTTCTTGTTTGTTGCACTACTCACAACTATACAAAGAACAATTTACCGCTAAGTTTTAATACTAGCCTCTCCATCCAGCTAAACATCGTCTTAGCCTTTATGTGAGCACTTAGACACAAATTGTTCTCTGTGCAGGCTCCTCAAATAAGGACCAGTAATTTTATCTTGATCAAAATTTAATTTCCCTTGTTTACCAGCTTAGTCGCCCGTCACACAGCTTGTAAAAAGGTTCTCTACTTTATTTATCCCAACAATTTTGAGGTTAAGTTATCAACAGTGATGGTTCGGTCTGGGAATCAAGAGTTTTCAATCCAAATACAGTAAATTTTGCAACCTTTAGCGTGATGCCTCCCTCTTGGTTGGTTGTCTGATGAAACGTTTCCAATGAAACTTAGCAGTTTTGAAAATTTTTTTCCTTGATCATGATCTTTGAATTGCTAACTACTTGATTAATTATTTTATACCAATGGTCGAACTATGAAACCACATATCTTAGTTTGCGATGTTGCAAATCTCCTGTCACCTTTGCTCTTTTCTGGGATGTCTAATCTTTGTTCCAACCTTTGTCAGATTTTCCTCGCCCCATCGATATTACCTAAAAAATTTTTGACTGAATGTTTTATCTCTCTCATAAAGAAGAAAATAAGATTGTGCATATCCTTCAGAAAATGCACTAAAATATTGAAAATCTGACTTACAGTGATCATGTTATGTGCTTTCATTGTTTCCTGTTAATATAATGGGATTCTGTGCAACAAGACAAGATTGAAATTAAGGAGCATAACTTGGATCGCATCCACCGAGCACATGGAGCGACAATAGAAATGAAGGAGTTACTGCCATGACTTTCAAGTCATTGTTGTCTCAGTGAATTCAAGTGATATGAGATAAAAAGGCAGTAGAGGAAGGTTAGCATCTTAGCCTTTTATTTATTATAGAAACTTGAAGACGTGTAATTTAATATGATTTTTTCCCCAACTTTTTTCAGAGAGTAAAAATCAGTTGATTTTCTGAAACTGTCGCATTTTACGTTGCTACAATGTCAGACGGACCACTCGGAAGCATGTCCCCTCCCTCCAGGCACATCGTCAAAGAAGGCTGGCTCTTCAAAAGAGGCAAGTTTATAGATCTTTCAAAATGAATATTTGTGACTATCCTTAAGTAGTAGAAGAGACCTTGATCCTATAAATTTCAAATTGAGATATTGATTCGTCTGCTTAGAGGAGTGTATCATGAACTAAACACACACATGTCATGAAAACATTCGTCCTATTTCAACATAATAAATGTTTAATTAAAGTGAATCTGTACAAAGCTTTCATCTACCATGTTCGGTACCACAAAAAATAAATCCTCAGGTGTTGCAAAGAATCTGAAATTCAGCTATGACATACTCTAACTATAAGGTATAACACAGTATAAGGAGAGCCCAAGAAAAATGTTTGAAGTACAATTTTTCCACTTTAAAATTGGAATGAACAATTTCATTTTAACAATAACAAGAAAATAAAGGATCCCTTTGAAACGATCATTAATGCAAGTTTATGGAGATTGAAAATATTTTCATTGGATACCTAAAAGTCAGAAATAGGAAAAGTCATTTTTTACGCTGTTTTCTTGGGAAATATTAAAAGACTACTTGGTTGTTTTGTATTTTCTTCAACTTAAAAAATTTCAAGTACAGGGTTCTACGAACGAGAAAACAGGGAAAATTCAGGGGCCGAATTTTGTCGGTCCTTCCACCATACTTAAATATACTTAGAACGGGTCTCGACTGCACTTCAGTCCGGCTTAGCGCTTCTGATTGGCCGGTGGTGCGGTGTGAACTCATCGATGGATGTTGCACTCCGTGTGAAAAAGCCGACAAAATTCGGTCCCAGGGAACAGAATTTTGAGGGAATTCGCAGGGAGCCCAGAGTTAGTGATTATTTTTCACCTCTGTGTCAAATGAGTTGGTGTAGAGAATTACTTCATGATGCCATCACTCAGGGAAAATCCAGGGAATTTGAAAGTTGAAATAAAGTAGAAACCCTGCAAGTTCCAAATAATGAAAACAATCTTTTGTTTGTTCTACTGACTGTTATCATTTTTCATTCAAACATAGTAATTAAATTCTTTTTTCATCTTAAAAACAGATCTTGTTCTGAGTAACATACTTGTTAAAATCATAAATAAAATCATCATTTTCCCAATGTAAAAACTCAATGAAGTTAATTGTCCAATTTAAAACACTTTCTCTGTTCTCCAGGCGAGCATATAAGGAATTGGCGATCCCGCTATTTTGTCTTGCTGTCTGATGGATCTCTTATGGGTTACAAAAGTCCTCCCGACGGCTCTGTCCTCAGTCCCCCCGTGGAGCCCCTGAATAACTTTACAGTCAAGGGGTGCCAAATCATGACGATTGATCGGCCAAAGCCTTACACTTTCATCATCAGAGGCCTTCAGTGGACCTCAGTCATTGAGCGAACTTTCCATGTTGAATCAGAGCAAGCCAGGTATGAATAGTTCTTAATTCACTCATCCTGTTTGTCCTCCAGATTTTTCTTTGTCATTTTCCGTGTAATCCTTTTTTCCAATCTTTATCCTCAGCCTCTTCGAAATTTACAGATAATTGATAAAGTCAAAATTTCAAATCGGCTAGAATATTGAAAATTTACTGTTTGAGTATAAAACTCGGTCGTATGTTTCAGAGCTCACACCTGTGGTATTTTATTTTTGAAACAACTTCATAGTAAGCTCGCAAGAATGTTTCTTATTTTTTGAAACTTGAAATGCCTGAAAAATTCTTTCGGCAGAGAAATTTTTGGTGTGATGTTAAGGGGGAACATGCCCCTACCTGCATTTACAACTTGTAAGCATCCCAGGACTGCCCAAGTGATCATCCTTGATTGTACTCTAACCCCTTAACTGTACAAGATGTATTTGCTTGATGAAAGTTTTATTATCAGAGCTTATGAAGAGTGTGTATTTAACTGATAAGCACCATAGTTAGTAAATAACTACCCCTTACCCTTTAACTTTTTAACTCACATAAAATGTGATATGTATTTGGTTTTCAGCTGCAAGTCCCATCCTTTTTTACAGAATTCCTTATATTTCAGTCAGCGTCTGCCCTTTATTAAAGTCATTTATTACCTATTACCTTTTAAAAGCTTACTCCAAGTCTACAGAGCTATCTACTGTTGTTTGGAGTGTACCACTTTTCCTTTTGCATAAAGTATGATAAGAAAAAATTATAGTTTTGAGATTCCAGTCAAGTACTTGAGTTCTGAGCAAGTAATTGTTTTGCAAGAATCATTTTGTAGCCATCTGTAACTACATGAAGCAGTTTTCCATTTGTTTTTTTCTTTTTTTTTCTTTACATCCCCTCTCTCATCTTTTGTTTGTTTTGCCCTGTAGTTTTTGTATGAAACTTTCTCTGCCCTTCTCCAACCCGTATGAACACTTCAGTAAAGTGTAAGTGTTCCCTTTTTGATAAAGGAAGACAAATTTTGGAAACAAATAATGAAAAGGTGCACTTTCATTCCTATGATATCCAGTTATTAGAGGGTCTATCAGGAGGACACTACATTGTGTTTCAATTTTCATGTCCTCTTTCTATTGGAATCTGTCCTCTGTCTTCCAGGGAAGAATGGGTAGAAGCAATTAAGGCAGTCTCAGAAAAGTTGGCTCAGTCAGAAACTGAAGACATTGAAATGAAACCTGAGGATTATGATCTCTCGGATGAAATGAGAGCCAAATTCTCAGTTCAAGGGACATCTAGCAACAAAACCACCGGAAAGCAGAAAATTGTAAGTTGAGCTACACTTTATTACTCCTGTAACCAGAATATCAGTCCAAAATCATTCTCATCACAGGGAATAGATACGTTTCTTTTTTTATCTGTTATGATTTTTTCTCCTAATTTAAAGCATCATATTAGGCTTGAAACCTGACAGCTAAGACTTTTGTATCAGTTTGAAGCCTATTTCACAACCTGGAAGTAAAAGTGGAAAACAAAACTACAGATATGCAGAAAGTTCTTAGCATTCTCATTTTTAAATTGGCCTTTCTAGTTGAAAAATCCTCTTTTTTCCTCCAAAATTTTTATGTGATGACCTTGTAATGACAAAAAATGTGCAGTCTTACTTGAAATAGTCTACTTGATTAGCTGCATCTCTTTCATAGACAGACCCATTTTTCAGTCTCTTGATCACTTAATTGGAGCCTCTACAAATTTATACGTTTTATTTTTCAGACCTTGGAGCATTTTGAGTTTTTGAAAGTTCTCGGGAAAGGCACATTTGGAAAAGTTATTCTTTGCAGAGAAAAAGCTACAGAACATTTGTACGCCATCAAAATCTTGAAGAAAGAAGTCATCATTCAAAAAGATGAAGTTGCCCATACACTAACAGAAAACAGAGTGCTCCGAACAACTCGGCACCCATTTCTGATCGTAAGTTCATTCATAAATCTTCAATTTCTTAGGTTTTATGAATGCATATTTTTTGGTGTTTTCTGTATTTATTACTTATACCCTCAGGGTCTGTGTAACTTTGGTGAGTGTCTTTAGTAATAGCTTTCATTTTTTTTCTTCTTTTCTTTTAGTTCCTGTTTTTTTTTTTTTTTTTTTTTTTTTAATCTTTCAAGTTCTTGAAGGCTCTTGATTCATGAACAAAGTTGTAGATACTTGACATTCCATGAACTTTTAAATTCGTTGATTCAATTTCTTTTTCCGGGAATTTCAATTCTCTTTTCACTTTCGAATTGCATTAAAAATTGCAATAGAAAAAAGAAAATCTATTTAAACACCATCGATCATGACGGAATGGATCAAGCATTGAGTATGTATCCAGCATTAATTAAAATATCGCCTCTTAAATAACTTGGCAATGGACCACTAGACAAGGTACGAATTTAAGCAATCTGATACATGTTCTTTAACCAGAATTTCTCGTAGAAAACGATTCCTACAACGAAAATTACGGAAACCAACTCCTAACGAAGATATTAACGTTTTTATTTCACATTGGTTACGAGGAATTTGAAGTGCCCGCTCACAAGAAACTCAAAACTCTACGTGAGTCAAATCGCCCACTACAACGGTTTCAGCAAGCTTCTCAATCGAGCAATGTTCATTTCCCATCATGTGTTGTTCAAACTATTAGCAATTTGCTATAACTGAGCCAAAGCATCAAGATTGAGGTTGCCAGATTTTTATATCGCAGAGACTGTCATGATAACGTTTAGCGCGCGATGTGAATCACGTAGAGCATTGAGTTTTCATGAGCGGGTGATTTGAATTCACGCATTAAGAATCATTAAATATCTTCGTAAGGAGTTAATTTCGGTAATTTTCGTTGTGTACATCGTGTTTTACATAAAATTTTGGTTAAGAAACATGTATCAGAATGCTGAAATTCGTACCTTATCTAGTGGTCCATTACTACTATCACCTGCTGTAGTGTATAACATGGTTTTTCCTGTCTTAGATGGATACAGTTGATAAAATCCTGGGGAAAGAAACACTTGTATAAATCACCTCAAGAGATGACATCTATCGCTGTATTCAAATGCCGATATCCTGGCAAGTATCAAGTGCAGAGACGTGGCGTTCAGGCAGAAGACAGATACTTTGTTTTACCATTCTCAATGATTGAACTATCAAATGTCAATTCTATGAGTAACAGGACGATATATTAGACACAGAATGAACCATTTAATACATTTAGTTAATACATGTTTTCTTTCTTTTGCAGTCATTAAAATACTCATTCCAAACTGTGGACAGACTTTGTTTTGTCATGGAATATGTAAATGGAGGGGAGCTATTTTTTCACTTATCCAGAGAAAGAGTGTTCAGCGAAGAAAGGACTCGATTCTACAGTGCTGAAATCATCTCTGCCTTGGCTTATCTACATGGAGAAGGCATCATTTACAGAGACTTGAAGGTATAGTAATTCTTGTTCATTGTAATTTTATGTCTTTGGTCAGTGCAAGGTCTAGGCATTGACCCTTTACCCTGATTGTTCTCGTTCTCGGCTTTTCCTTTGGAAGTGAATATGTTTTTGTATTTTCATCATTTTTCTGTGCCTGATAAGTGCTGATGTCCAAAATTTAGCACAGAATTGCCCAATGTAGCCTTCTTTGAAAAATTTACATCCTCTTGCTCTTTTTGAAGCATTTAAGTTGAGTAGTGTGGGATAGTGATAGAGTAACAGTACATTTAAAGTATTTTTTCAATTTTTGTCTCAACAAGTTGAAGTGTAACTTTAACCAAATGAGAGCGCACAATTTTCAGCAGTATATTTTGTGATGTTTTGCCCAATTGCATATTTTTCCTCTCCAACTGTGGATAGTCGCTGTTGAAGTTAAATAAATTAAATTTCTTAGTCGCTAGTTACTTTAAGTTTGGTTGGACACGTTTCAGTTGCCTCGTGTGACCATCCTCAGCCACACTGAGTGATTGAGTCGCTGAGAATGGTCGCACGAGGCGATTAAAACTCGTCTGTTGGAACATAAAGTAAAGTGCAAGTGAGTATTTTAATTAATTTAACTTTAAAAAGCTCTTGTGCAATCCTGACTTCCACCGTTGAATCGCTGTTATTTATTACTTTTAAACAATTATGATAGAATTTATATTTTATGAAAGTTATTACCCTGAGAATGTATGTATTCATGAACATGCACCTTCTGTGGTGTTAAAATTGCTGTAGTTGATCAAATAATACAATTTGTTTTGTTACTCTGAAAGGGGTAGGTGTAAAATAGATCCAAATTTTCTCATGACCGTTACTTTTGAGACTTGGCTCATTCAATCTTTAGGTGATGCCCTTCCTTTTTTCAAAGTTTTTAGTCTCCCTAAAATGTTTGAGGCACTCAAAACTTTTAAAAGACAGGGCAATACAGGGTGTCCCAAAAGTCCGTACCCCCCCTCGTAACTTTTGAACGGTTAGAGATAGAAAAACGAAACTTTGGGAATGTTTCTATCTTAAAGGGGTCCATCTTCTAGGGGGGTCAAAATTTTTGTCCCCCCCTCAGGGGGAGCGCGGGGGCCCCCAACTTTTTTTTTTCAAATGGTAACCCCTATCTTGTGATACATCATTAGAAAGAGCATAAAAAACTAAGAATTTTGGCGCAAACCGCAAATCAATATCTTAATTTTTGACCGAGTTATGATAGGTCAAAGGTCAAATTTGACCTATTTTCAAAAAATCATATCTCCGGTTCAAATTATCGTAAAGAAAAAAATAAAACGGGAATATTTACCAAATTGTAAGCACTTTCA